GCCTCGGTCAGATGGATGACTGCAGTAAGGCACCTGGCCCATGCTCCACTTATTCCAGGCCCTCCCAGAGTAATTTGTTTTAGTTACCGAATATGTCTTGAGAGCTCCAAAAGTAGGTAATTAAAATGCTCTTACCTCCCTTCCCTCCTCTTCATTCCCACGCAATTTGACTATTCTGCTCCTATCCCAATATCGACCCGCTTTCTGTACTCCCTTCCTAACAATGCGTTTGTATTAAAAGAAACATTTTTCAGTTTTGGAAACCGAGGACAGTCTCATTAAGTAGATTACCACCATTTCAGTGCCTCTTGTAGGTTTGCAGCCTTCTATTTTGAAAACATAGATCTGGTCGGATTAATATGGTTGTGTGGTATGCATATCGGTCGAATATCCAGTTTTTCACCCTGCCCTTATCTCTCGGTTCTTATTACTGAATGTTCGGTTTGTGCCAACAAACTTTCGGATTTGTCCACATTCTTCACTTTTTTCAACTTTTGTCACTTTTTGTAAACAGAGATTTGACGCTTCGATAAAAAGAGTCAGCTTTGCTCCAGCTAACTACTCCTGCTGCGGCAAAAATGAAATTCGTATTATAGCCTTCAGCTGTTGCAAATATAGCTGTTCAGCTGTTCCATATATAGTGCGAATTTTCTCGAAAAATTGCGAATATTTTTCTTCCAAGTGCGTAGAGGATTTTGTTCGTCACATAATCTTCAGAATCTGAAGATTTCTGGGAGCTTATTCATGACTTTTCCTAAAAACGAGTTTTTTTATCGGGAAAAAATTGGTAACATTCGAAGGTTCTTCATGCATGTTTCCTTACCACGGTGGAGTTGGCTTAATTCACCAATTCGTCGCCCACCTTACATAAGGGCGTAACTACACTCTGCAATGAACCCTGTCTTCCATACATTTCAATGCTTCTCCGGGCTCATCTCAATGTGTAGTTACGCCCTTATGTCAGCCAAGCGACGAATTTATGGAGATGTAACATCCATATTATTGGCACCAACTAGTTTATAGCTGGATCTACATTACCGCACCGTTAAGCAGAAAAAAATGTTTTTTTCTCCGTTCAAATGGAACAGTTCTATTGACAGACACCGAACGTTCGATTCATTAATAGTCCATGGTGATAAAAAAGCCCAATGTAAACAAACACTCTCGTGAAAAATTTATAATCGCTGAAGTTGATTAGATAACTATCTGTTTTCGCAGAATAATGAATAATTTGACCGAGAAAAATGCATTATTGGCTGTCGCACATCACCGACATTAACTTTGATTACATTTGAGCTTAATAACCATCGACAACAAGCCGATACAGGGTGTCTACAAGTTCGAAAAGTCCGGAAATAGTACTGATTTTTTAAGGACGGTCCGGAAGCACTGAAAAAGTGCGGAAATTCCGCTAAAAGGTCCGGAATTTTCTTAATTTTTTTTTTTGTCATTTTTGTCGCAATTTCAATTTTTTGAAATTTTTCTAATTTCGTCAAATGGAGGTACTGAAAAAGTACGGAATTTTTCTGTTGGAGGAGGTTCTGAATTTCTTGAGAATGTACCGTAAAAGTACTGTAAAAGTACTTATTTTTGACCAGCCTGTTTTAGTAGACACCCTGCGATAGTTTACGCATGTATTTTACAGAAAATACGTTGCACATCGATTCATGAAAATTTCAGCCATGCATATCTTTTACAAATGAAAGAAATTGTCGTAAAGTTTTCATAAAACCGTGTGGACCCGCTCTATCAGAATTAAATGGTTTAAAATTCTCGGCAACATTGCATGCTTCCAGGCTCAAATGACGCCCCTGCTATTTAATCCAGAAGGAGACGACTTGAGTCCACGTGCTCGGTAGATAATTCGTAGTGAGGTTTGAATTAGTAACAAATTAATTACGAAATCCGAAACTAGATCTTCAGGTGTCGTCTTGGATGGCAGCTTGTATTAAAGGGGCCGGGTAAATGGGTTTTAGTTGGTAAGCTGACAATAAGACAGGTGTCTTTTTTACATGCTGTTCAGGCTCAAACGAGCTGCTGGGAACCCCAAAGCCCCTCAGCTGCATAGCTTTCTTTCAGTCTGATTATTGGAGATGCAAGTTTGGAATTCTCGGTGGAAACTCTTGGACTCTCTTAATAAGCTATACCGGACTAAGTTTCGTGGTAGGGAATTCAGGATTGCCTTAGTCAGGGAAAACCGGGAAATGTCGGGGAAAATGACGGAACCGCCAGGAAAAAATTATCAAGTCACCTTTATTTGCTTTTTAGAGTGGGTTTGACATTTTGAACGAAAAATTTTTCCTGAAAACTATCTCTAATTATGTCTTTTTACCATCTGGCATATCTTCAATTGTTAGGGAATTTTACCAAAATGTGTCAAAGAAATCAGAGAAATGTCAGCGAAATTAAATTTTCTATATTCTGTGGCAACTCTAGATTACCATTTCCGGATCACTTGAGAAATACTATGTGGCCCACTAGGTGCTCTGTGCAGATAAGTGCTTTTATATATGAGCCAGAAATAGTGGGTCCTTTTTGTGAAATGTCTAAATAACTGTAAAGCTCTTTTAGATGTACACCCTCATTCCTCGGTATAAACTGCATGCTTTATTGGAGATTTTTTCGGGGTTTTCTGAGGAGGGGGGGTCTTCTTTTTTTAAATATTAATTTTTCCCCCTTGCTTTTCGTTGTCGTCATGTCCAGCATTGGTAGGGTCTTCAATAATTGCACTAATACAATCACACTCATACAACAACATATTTTCCTTGGCATCCTCTCATACTCTGAAGAGAGAACTCTTTTGCGATTGAACAGTGAATTTTTAAGGTAAAAAGGAACTTCCGTCGTCAATACTTCAAGAAGAAGTTCATTTGTTGTGATGACATTAGTTTGGCTTTCACGATGTGTCGTTGAAACTTCTCACCCGTTTGGTCAAATAAAAGGAAAGAAAACCCTGACTTTCTATAGACTCCCATAGTCAGTAGGCGAGTATCACTATTCGAACTCCTGCGAAACCGCTTTTGCCTACCTCATGAAATGAAGGCAGAACCCCGCGTTAAGAGGTATAATTATTATTCCTCCATCCTATTGAAGTTCCACTTTCAGTCATACCAGGGTGTTTAGCATCAGGAAAAACCGAAAAAACTGGAAAATATCAAAAAAATCGGACGTTTTATCAGGAATTTTTCTTACGCGAATCTCCTCAGTGGAGAAGTCTTACTGCTTTTTGCCTACCGTGCCAGGAGTTGTCGCGCCGTCTTCGTTGAAAAATCAGGGAAATATCAGGAAAAATCAGGAAAATATCAGGATTTTTCAAAATTAAAAAATACTAGACACCCTGCATACATATTTGCATCGCATTCAGCGAAAGAAACTTTTGTGTTTGGTTCCCTCGGGCGTATTGCAGTCCATTCAATCGTCACGAAAAAAAAAAAATTGCTATAAATGAATGAAGAAAAAAAGACAAAAATCCTGTTTTCAACCATTCCTTTTTGTTTAGGCTTAGTGTAAAGTTATCTTTAACAGTACGACACGAAGATACGTAGAGTAGCCCAGCCCACGAAAATCAAGTGTCTTGGCAAACACACGCTGACTTTATCAGTCAAGTCGTTTGCTATCGTCGTTTTTAAACGCGCTCTCGGGGTGCGCGAAGAAGTGCGCGGATGTTGTGGATGTAAAGCTCTTCTAAGCTTCGAAAGTCTCGAATTTTTAGCACTCAAGTGGCCGTAGTAATTCATTTTTTTTTATTTTTCCAAACTCCGTCTACGGTTTTTATTGCGGAGTAATGTTTTGTCCTCTCTTGACCCATGTTTATGTATGATTCAGGTATTGTGCCAAACGTTTATCATTTTTTACGACCGATAATTTATCTATCATCACATGGATAAAAAAAAACTGTGGTCCGTATGGAACACCAAAGTTTTCGATCCAGGTAATTGAAGTCTTCGGTCCTAAAAACCGGAACTTCGGTTCGTATACTCGGTTAGCATACTAAGCTAGCACTGTTACTATAACAGTACCTATTACTAACAGAAACTATGGTTATTTAAACCGAAGTTCGGTTCCTACGACCAAACATGTCGATTGGACGTGTCGAACTGGACACCTTGGTGTTTCATATGGACAGAGGTATTTTTCTCCGAACAGGCACCCAAGTAGCATTTTTCAACGGAAAAATCGCTTTTTATTGCGATTTCGTCGGCGATAAAATCGCTAAGATCATCAACATCTGAGCGATTATCCTCGATCATGTTGCAATAAAATCGCGATTTTATCGCGATATTATCGCAACAAAAATCGCGATATATGGCGATTTAATCTCGATTTTATCGACGAAAATTGATCGCGATTTTATTGAGCAAAAAATTGCGATGCATAGCGATTTAATCGCCATAAATCGCAAGTTTTTATTCGATAATATTGCGATAAATTGCCACCGATAGAATGGCGATAATTAATCGATAAAATCGTTATTTATCGCGATCACTGCTACTTGGGTAAAACGTTTCTTCTCACATGGTTGCCGCGCAGTTCATCATTGTTATGCTCATCATCTCCAAAAAAGGAGAAATGACGTATGTAACTTTTTTTAGAGAGCTGTATATGAAGAACAACGCTATCCCATTTTGCTTACTTTTTATCGGAAGTAAGTTCATAATTGACTGTGCCGCATGATAAAACAATTTGGGCCTAACACTAAAACTCGGATTTTATCAAAGTCTGTGGTGTATCCATTACGTAAAACGACTCATGTGTCAAATGCACGTACGTAATTTTGAGTCGAATGGTCTGGAAAGGCCGCGATTGTAAGTTTGAACTTATTTAATGCTTTTCTGAGTAAAGCATGGGCTTTGAACTGTAATTCAGAGCCCACCTGAATTCAGAACATATGTTTTTCAAGTTAAAATAATTTTTCAATATTTTAAATGTTTCATACTGTGCTAATTCGAATTAATTGCAAATTGACTCCACTAAATTCATTTCATTCATATTTTGTGCAGGTACCAGCTCCAGTCAGGATCATGGTATCACTGAAGGAGAGGAAACGGACTTGGACATCTGGGGTCGTATCGTCAACGATTTTGACCACTACTCGAAGAAGAAGAACAATATTCTCAAGGTATCAATATGTATTCTTCTCGTTTTAAAATGTGTATCAAACTTCGCGATAAGGGTGAGTTAATATTTTTAGCTCATTTTGGAAACAACGTGTGCACCGTAAGTTTTTCCGCGCAGAGGTGCTTCCATGGATGAGCCAGAAATAGTTGTACCTTAAAGCAAAATGTAGTCCGAAGTTCTTCAGTGCTACTGCAAGAAGTATGCTCACACGCCAACGTGGTATCTAGTCTAGAAAAATTGGGATGTATTTTGGTTTATCGGGTGCTAAAATCCCTCGAGAAAATTACGGAATTCATTTAGGAATGAGTGTTTCAAAACGGGAATTTCAAGTTTGGTGATCTTTTTTAACGCAAAAAATTAGATGATAGAATATTCCTCTATAAACTCGAAAGGAAAACTTGGCTTTTCCTGAAAGTTTATAGGAGAAAGTAGCAGAAAACCCTGGGCTTTCATCAGGAAATTCTTTTTAGAAAATCAGAACTGTAGAATAGAATAAGAATATTCAAGAAATTCAGATACTGTATATTAATCTCCTATTCTTTATTTTTATAGGAGCTCGTCAGGAAAGGCATACCAGATGTATGGCGGAATATGTCGTGGCAACTCCTATGTGGAGCACTGGACTCACCTCTTAAACAACAGTATGCAGAATACATTAAAGCAACATCAGTTTGCGAAAAGGTGAGGTGACGTCCATGTATAGAAACCCTTCCCATAGATGGATTGAAAACTAATATTAAACCTGGGATTCACATGTCTTCCCTGATTTCGACATAGTCATATCACCTTCAGCTTTTTTCATGAACAGTATCTATCTAGCCTTCGAAGGCCTAATTCCATCACTTCTTAATCAATGATTTTCATACAGGAAATAAAATGCTCTGTGTGAGAAAATGGTCTTGTCATCTGTTTTGACTGCCCGAATTACATTTACAACTATGGTGAGACATTATGGTACCTAAGTACTAAAAATTTTAACTTTTGGTTCAAATTTGAAAATACTACATGTGCTTGACATTTTTAAACCACTGGTTACACCATATCTAGAGGTGATGGAACCAGGTAAGAGTATAAATTGAAAAACGAGGATAATTATGAAATGACCGTTATCAAATGTAAAACCATTGCAGATTTTTTTTTTTTTCGAAACATCCCTTGAGGATATTTTAAGCCATAATAAGCTTATGAAATGTTCACCAGCCTTGTTTTATACAAATCAAACCGTTTTTTACATTCTTATACTTTCAACATCAGTAAAAATCAGTCAGTAGTGCGTTTCTCATAAAATATTTTTTTTTTTCAACAGGTGATACGCAGGGATATTGCTCGGACGTATCCTGAGCATGATTTCTTCAAGGAAAAGGATGGACTAGGACAAGGAAGCTTATTCAACGTGATGAAAGCCTATTCTTTGCATGACAGAGAAGTTGGTTACTGTCAAGGTTCTGGATTCATTGTTGGCCTTCTTCTGATGCATGTAAGTAAAAGAACTGGCTTTCTATCCATCTCTCAGAGAATGCTGAAATTTTTGTACTGTAATTGGGTGTTGCTTTTAAGGAAAATAAGTCTGTCAGCATGGAGAATCAATCTAGATCGACTTCTGTTGCTTAATAAGTCCAATCGTTATTTTGATTAGAATATAAAATGATAAATTTCTGAATTTTACAAGTACTGAGCAGCATATCACGATTTGCTTTAATGATTTTTGGATTGATTTCAAGCATGTGTGTATTCAGTCCTCTTTTTGAGACTCTGTTGTGTTCCTCTTCTTTGTACCAAATCGGAATTGTTTGCTACAGTTAATAAATGTTGATAATCCTACAAATATTTGTTTTCTTCAATTATAGATGCCGGAGGAAGAGACTTTTGCAGTTTTTGTGAAAATCATGCAAAATTATCGAATGCGGGATATGTTTAAGCCATCCATGGCAGAATTAGGTCTTTGCATGTTTCAACTAGAGAATCTTGTTCAGGTATGCATCCAGCCTCCATTTTATAATTTTTATAAGTCTAAAATTTATCTATTAATCGAGTCCACATTCTTTGTTTGAGAGTTAAAGCTGAGGCGTAAAATCAAAAGTAATTTGGGGTCAACAACTTTATTGTGGAAAGTAAAGAAATCATGATCTTACTTAACATGAGAAGAAAGTGGTCAATTTTGGAAAATAGCTAACTGTTTATGGCGGCCGACTGGTACCGAAAAAGTGATTGAGAATTCAGACCTATCATTGCTGTGATTTGCACATTTTAGTCGTCTCTTTACGATGTGAAGGAGACATACTGATCCAAGAAAACCTAACATATCAACAGCTCTCCCCCCCCCCCCNCCCACCAGGATTTTTCCCAGTGTTCCGACTTGCCTGTCTGACCCCGACTGCTCAGATCACCCAGCTCACGAAAGAATACTTCTGCATGTTTGGCTAAGATAATTTGAAAAAAGTCATGTTCCATTTTTTATATATGCAGTGTCAACCTTGCCACTAATGAAAGCTACTCTTATTTTTTGCAGGAACTTCTACCGGAACTATTTATTCATTTTCAATCTCAAAATTTTCACACTAGTATGTATGCAAGCAGCTGGTTTCTAACGCTGTTCACAACAGCCTTTGCCACTCCGACTGCCAATAGGTTAGTTGGAATTTTTGTAAATTTCTTTTAGTAATTTTTTCTTTGAAAGAAGTCCTGTTATTTGTGCTTGAGGGTTACCTCCTCCTATATAATTGTGTTTATCGAGCGTTTTGTTTTTCTTAAAACTTGTTCTGAAAAATAACTCTTCTTTTTGCTCCAACAAAAGTTTGGACAAACCATTAGGAAAGCGACAAATGGACTTCATCTTATACTAAGGAACAGTAGTTCCCAGTAGTGAACAGTATTTATGGCTCATCCATAAAAGCACCCATGTGCGTAAGAAAACCAATGACACATATGTCGTTTCTAAAGTGAGCTGGAATTTGTAGTTCCTCATTGCAAAACGAAGTCCTAATAGAGAACAGGCTTTTGTAAAAAATGCAGAAAGGCTTGTAGTCAATGAATTCAATGTTATTCTTTGTGAAAATCCGCATGAGAATGAGGTTTTTCCTCGTAAAGCTCAACTCATCCGCAAATAAATCTTTAAAGCTTAAAAAAATTCAATGTGTTTCTTGTTAACCTCATTATTTTTTCTTTTGCTCTTCATTGTAGGGTTATTGACGTCTTCCTCCTAGAAGGAATGGAAATAATTTTCAAAATCGCTTTAGCTCTGCTCCAAGTTAATGAACAGGATCTCTTAGCTCTTGATATGGAAGGCATGCTCAAAGTAAGTTCTTTGTCATCAAGGTAACTGTTTTACAAGGATGTTGTCTTCATGGAAAATAATGCCACTCTTTATGTACAGACAAAAACTGAGTAAAAATCAAGTTCGTTCTGTTTTTAATTGTTACTGTGGAACCACTAGTGGACTAAGCACTTTCCGACTGTCCAAGGTGCCTTTTTTATGAATCATAGATAAATCAGGCAAAGAACTTCACTACATACACGGCCAGCTCTCAAATTTTAAAGATATGTATTTGCCCTGAAAGAGTCTACGAGCTCTCAAGTATACGGAAAAAAAGATGGGTTAGCAGATCCAGGTAGACTTTTGGGAGAAAAGGATGAATATGATCATCTTTCCTCATACTTTTTTCCTTGAAACAAAGAAAAAGCCTTCCCTCTGTGAAAGGAAAATGTTCAAAAATGTACAAAACAAGCAAATTGATTTTCTTTTAGCCTGGACCTTAACATTGTGAAGATTGTATTGTATTTATAATCTTCTATTAAATAAGCAGTGCAGTAGGTTTTGAAGTTAGAACACTTAGAAGAAAAATTGTGATTGAGGCCTTTGACGAAAAAGGATAATGAGTTTTGATTTATCGAAATTTTCTGATGCAAGTTGTTGCGAAAATGTGAAGCAATCTTCTTCACTTTCAAAACACATTCCTTAAAATATTTTCTCATTTTTTCACCGCGAGATAGTTAAGCAGCAGTCTGTTACTTCATCTTTGGAACTCTGTAACGAGTTTCTCAGTTCGATTAACAGTGCTTAAACGCACTCAGTTGCTCAATAGTGTTTCATTTTCCTAATCTCTGAATTATTTGTTTTACTTATGTGCTAATTCTTCTATCGTCTTTTTTTCAGTTTTTTCAAAAAACCTTACCTTCAAGAGCTGACAGCAATCTAGATGAATTAATGGAAATAGCATATAACATCAAAATTAGTTCGAAGAAAATGAAAAAACTAGAAAAGGAATATGTTATAATGAAGAAGAAAGAACAGGAAGAAATGGTAGAATTAAAGGTTAGTTCCATTTGTTGATAAGGCTATCTTTATGAAGTTTAAAGGAACCTATATCCTAAAGCGGTAATAGCCGTAAATTATAAGGTTTCAACAATGTATTCCAATTTGGCTCTCTTAACTCTTTCTGTTTCCATCTATTCCAAGCTAAGAGCAATTAATTTAAGTTATTTCATTTGATAACTTTATTTCCGGTGTGTCAAGGAACTGCCGAGATTTTTAAAAACAGCATGCAGACAAAAAATTATCAAGCTCCCTAGAGCACACACTAATCTTGTGAAATTAAGTTTAATAATCAGCCATGTCGATGGTGTAAGTTTGCAACCATGCATTTTGGTTTACCACATTGCAAACATCCTGTCATAATTTACTTTCTAAATGGAAAACTACTCAACGGCAATTCTTAAAAACTGCCGTGAATTTTCTTCTTTGTGCCAGGAAAATTCTGCGAAAACTTTAAGGATTGATGCCAATATGTTCTTCTTTAAAAAGATAAAATAGGAGCGGAGATTTTCAAACACTGCCAACAAGATTCGTTGTTGCGGTTCTACTGGGTGGATGTATGTTCTTCAGTTAAAAAGTCCAGGATCCTCGAAATGTCTCAACTTTTTTTCTACTCTACATTAGGCTTGGTTTATTTTGTCTATTTTAAACCTGTTTCTAATTGCTGTTTCTGTCCTTTAGTTTATGTACAATGCTTTATTTCTTTAATTATTGCAAACATTATTTAATTTAAAATTTTGAAATACTATTAAAATTGTTACTTTTGCAGAGATTACGAAATGAGAACAAATTACTGAAGCAGAGAGTAGAACTTTTAGAGAATGAATCAACTGAACTAGCAGATCGTCTTGTAAGGGGCCAAGTCTCGCGAGCGGAGGAAGAAGAAACCACGTTCGTCGTACAGCGAGAACTAGCAGCTCTGAAGCACACTCATTTAGAAACCTCGCATAGGCTGGAACTTGCTCAAGAAGAAATTAGGAACCTATCTCTGATGATCGAACAGAATGTAAGGATATACTTGCCATGCATCTATCACACAATCTGTTGATTTTATTATGTTTTGACCGAAAAATTTAAGGGAGTGATGGATCAGCCAAGCAAATAAGATTTCTCATCACTATTTTGTGCTTCCTCCTCTGGCACCCTGTGCTTTATCAGTAAGAATGGAAAGAAGTTGAGCCAGGAGTTCATGATCTCTGCACTGAATGGAGAATTTGGTCGAAAAAATTTTGTTGCTTCAATAAAGAATGCTTTGTGAGCTGAGTTTTCAATATTAATCATAATTTTTTTCTGATATGGGAAATCATATAAAAATGGATTTGAAAGTAAGACAATGTATGTACCACCTTGTGACGTCACCTGGCGTCATTTCCTATTTAAGCACATGCATTTTAGCAGATTCGGTTATTTTGTCATATCTCCTCCAATGACCGATTAATATAAAAATCAGGGATATTTTCTTGCTCAGTTCTCTTGGCAGTATCATCTTAAACATGAAATTCACCAAGTTTCAGACACCTGCAAATTCTTCATTAGTTGCCATGGGATGTTTCCAATCAAAAGGGAAGCACTTTAAGAAGAAAGAGGTCTGTGTTAGCACTTCCAAAAGCGATTTCAGAAACGATCCGACTTTCAAGTATCAACTAATATTTTGGAAAGTGATATTTGTCGGCGACATTTTACTAATGATGATGTAAAATGGAAGCAGTTTGCTTTGCAATACACAATTTCAATAATTGCCTAAGTTTGTGTCGCCAAAATACAAGAGGAAAGCTTCACTAAATCCCTCCTCAGCTTCATCAATCACTTTATAGTGTTGCGTGAATTTAGTGTGAATAACACTGCTAGTGACTTGTTACTGTGAAGTATCATGCATTTTTTGGTTTTTTTTTCTATTTTTTTTTAAGTCAATAATGAAATATTTGTTTCTCCCCAGAATACATCATGCCAGTCATCTTTAGAAGAAGTTACAGCAAAGAGAGAGTTGCTCACTCAAAAAGAAGATATGATTCATTGTCTACAAGCGGAGCTAGTCAAAGTACGATTAAGAGAAGCAGAAAATGAGGTCTTAATCAGAGATCTTCGAGATAGGATTCAAGAATTAGAAGAGGTAAAATTCCATTTTCATTCCTTTACCTACAAGTAACTCCAAAATTTACTGTTCATTGGAAACAGTTTTTTTTTCTTTGTTTTTGTTTTTTTTTTACTATGACTTCATGAAATAATCCTTCCTCTCTGAAATATCTCAGTTTAATCTTGTAAGAAAGAAAATAAATATTGGTAGTTTTTATCTAAAGATTCTCTACAAGAATGCGTTTTAATATTTAAAAAATCGTCTTTGCTCTTCCAAACAATTTTTTATCTTACTAGATGAAATTTTAAGTTCTGCTACGTTAATCATAAAGTCACGTATTGAAAAAGTCACTTCCAAAGAATAATACTCAGCTCATGTAAGGAGATCAGTACGATTCAACCACATGTCAAAAATTAATTAATTTTTCTGTCATTGTAGGATAAAAAAAGGCTTCGAGAAACAGTAGTGGATAACTCTGTTGCTCATCTTCAAGAGGAGCTAATTGCCGTCAAATTGAGAGAGGCCGAAGCAAATTTGTCTCTGAAGGAATTGCGACAGAGAGTCACTGAGCTCAACATGCAATGGCAAAAACACTTGCAGGTAAGAACTGTATTGATCTTTGTTTATCTTAGTTCTCTCTTTTTCATTTGATTTCAAGTGCAGTGGAGATGATCATTTCAAGGAACAAAATGTAGATTAACCTCACCATTATGTTCTTTTTTGAAGTGATTCTTCAGTACTTTTAAGAAAAATTTGAAAGTCAAACTATCTATTGATTATTTTTAAATTTTAGAACATTTTATATGAATTTCTGAGCATTGCATCTTGCTGTAAAATGTCAGGTACTTGTACACAAAATTTGACCAAGAAATACTTCAAAATAGTGCTTAAAGTAAGTTCAGAGTGACACGCTGGGACATGCTTTTAAGCTATTTCAAGATGTCTCATGTCAAATTCATTGTAAAATACCTGACATATTACAGTACGATAAGGTGCTTGGAAATTCGTGAGGAATGTCTTGAAAGTCAAACATTATCAATCAATCGATAGAATCGGAATGTGAAAAAATGATTTTTTTCTGTAGGAGGGCATAGGAAACTTTTTCAACTCTCATCGTATCAACTGTATTCCCGTTACTATGCATGTCTGTAAATTTTAATCCTTGTCATTTTTGTCTCTAGGAACGAAAACTGGATCCTCCACCGCCTCCTGACTCAACGCCAAAGAAAATAGGTCAGCTAATAGGTTGGAATAGTCAAGAAACGCAAAAGCTTGAAGAAGAATTAATGACAAGTAGGTTACGGGAAATGGAAGCCGTCTCCGAACTGAAAGAACTCAGGTTAAAGGTAATTATCTCTCTTTACTTATTCTTCAATTTACTTACTACTGACCTATTCTATTTATTTATTCTGCATTCTGAAATCCCATAGGGCTTAATGCAGTATATTTTTTGACATTGTAGGTTATTTGAAGTGCTTGAACTCAGCAAGATTCTAATCCTACAGGTCATTTAACTTCTTTGCTCAAACGTTCTGCGGTGATGAAATATCAAAAGATGTGATAAGACTCGAGTATATTAAAAAAAAAAGTTCATATTTTTATTTATTTTCTTCTTTTTTTTTACAGAGAATGTCACTTGTTATTTTCGCCACCCCAGTTGTGTTAAAAGTTTAAAATGACAGCAGTGCTGTTCGGTTGTTTATCCACTCTTGCTCAAATATTTTTTTACTCATCAAGTTGATTCTAATATACATTTCATTTTTGATCCATTGATTTCATATCTAATGAAAAAACGAATATTCTTTTCTTTCAATTTCCTCAGGTAATGGAACTAGAAACGCAGGTTCAAGTTAGTGGTAATCAACTGCGCCGCCAAGATGAAGACAACAAAAGACTGAAGGAAGAAATAGAAAATTTAGAATCCCAACAAAAAGAATTGCATTCTAAACTAAGAGAGCAGCAGCACAGATATTCTGATTTAGAATCCAAGGTAAGGGTTTACTGTCTGATAGTTTGTTTTTATGAAGTTTCCACCCTCCACAAGTTCTTACTGAAAGGGCGGTGGGATGTTTTTATTTTATTTTTTATGAAATCTTGTTAAAATTGGCTGTGTTACTCATGTAAACCTACTGAAGTGAAATAAACATATTTGAATTTGAATTTTAAGTAAATAAGTTTATTTATAAACTGAACCTTTTCAATGAAACGCAAACCTTTTCTTGAGGATAAGTTTATTTCTGTCAACTCTAATGTTTTCAAGACACCAAATATTTCCCTCTCAAAGAAAAGGAATGTCTGCATTGAATTGATGCAAATTTTTTGAGAGGTTTATGATTACTTTGATTGTGCTTGACAGCTTAGTCTTCAAATTTTTAGATCTTTCTGGGAAAATTTTTATTACTTATCCTTGCTTAACTAATTAAAAATATTATTGTATCACCCTCAGAAAAAAAAAAAAATGATTAAGAAGTGTACCCTTTTTTCAGATGAAGGATGATCAAATGATGGCCAGAATTCGGGATGCTGAGCATACGCAACTAGTAGCTGAGCTTACCCAAAAAATTTCTCGATTGGAGCTTCAGGTAATTTATTTACTATTGTTTGATCCAATTTAATTTTGTCACTGTATTTAGTTTTTTTATTGCAGAGGAAGAAGAATAACATTCTTGCAATGGGGATTTTTTATTCATATCCTCAATGTTTTTTTTTTTAAGAAGAAAAAAAAGGGGAAAAAAAAAGCTCTCCAAGGCTCAATGCACCCTCTTGGTTGCAGCTTTGCCACTTTTTTTAATTTATCTCTTTCTGGAGTTTTAGAAGCTGTCATATCTAACCTAGAAAAGGTCTGATTCAAGAATCATATCATTCACTGAGGTGTAAATCTGTTATTTAATTCTTGCAAATAGGTTCTGGAAAATTTCCAAATTTTAATAAAAATTTAAGAGTACATATTCAATCAAAACCATTGTCTTTGTCAGAGGAAACAGCTTTTTACCCTCTGCCTGTTAGTTAGAAAAATTTCAGAATTAAATCTGGTTTCCCCCTTCCTTTTTGCAAATCCCGAAACGCAAAAACCTTCTGAGACCAAGTATTTTTAAACCCTCAGTTTGCAAAAGATTTTCTCTGCATCATTTGGTATCTTTTTTCGAGTATTCGTCTCTCATTTTCTTATTATTTTTCATTTTAACAGAATGAAGAGATGGTTGCAGAAGGTGAACTGAGAGGCAATGCTGATGACAGTGATAAAGTTCATGATCTTCAAAACAAAGTTGCTGACCTAAAAGCAGAGGTAAAAATCTTGATAACTCTTTACACAATTGATTTTCAAGCTAATTTTGTTACCATCTTCTTTTCAAGTCTCATCAGGGATTTTAAGTTCTCAAGATGGGATAAAAAGCAAGGCCTGTTATGAGCACCCTAGTGACCGGATTTCTAATTCCAATATTTCCCTAAATTAATCCCTCTGTTCAGTCTTTTAATTTTTCAGGTATTTTGTAATTGGCTGGTCAAAATTTTAAATACAGTAAATGGAGTTTGAAACAGGCAGTTGTACATATGTGCCGATCTAGAGGGAGTGGAGGGAAGGTGAATCATGTGTTAATCCAAATTTTTGTGTATATATTTAGTCATGTATCAATTTAAAAAATGGCCTGGTTGCTGATCATTGTAAATTAAGGAACTAACTAACTATTTGACTATTCATCACTCATGAAATATTTCTTTTGGTAATTTTACATTTCTTCTTGCGGGAGGTCTAAAATGATTGGTGTCTGTTGCCGGCTGCATGTTGACCATAGCTCATCGGTGGAGGCTATCACACATCAATTTCATGTCATTACTGGGCCTGTAGACAAGGTCTGAACTAGAAATAAAAGTCACTCATTTTCTCTTCAAAATTTTACGCATAAAACAATTCACATTACGGGAAGTTCAGAAATCTATTCTCAATGAGATATCAACAAATCAAAGGACATCATTCCAATTTTTTCCACGTAACCAATGTGATTTTAAACGCCCATACCGACATACCATGTTTGAGGGTAGATTTCTAGACTTCCTATCATATGATTTGTTTCTCTTGAAATCTAGAGAGAGAACATGATCATACTTTGTCTAGAGGCCCTTTGTTAAAGAAAGATCCTGAAAATCAGATTACCAACAAAGTCTGCGTATTGATTTGTTTCGATGCCTTAATGAAATCTGAAAGAATTTATGCTCCCCCTCACACTAACACACTTTTCTCTGAAATGGGGGACATGCATGGGTATTTTTTATTTAAATTCTGAAATGTGGAATGAATGAGCTCTCTTGCGATTTTCTTGCATTCATTGGGTTTACGAAAAAGCAAAATATTTACCATACCAGCCTTTATTTTGTTTCAATCTGCTGGCATCTGAAACTGAATAAGAGATCTCAACTGTGAGAAACTGGGATGTGGAAGGTTAACTAGACCAAAATAAATTACGTCTATTGTATTATAGTAAATTGAATATTATTATAGAACAACATAAGAAAGCATTTTTTTACTGAAAGTTTACATAGAGCTTCTACAACGAAGTGCACTTGCAGGATCTGCTCAAACCTCTTTGCACTTTCAAACCAATTCCTATTCTTCAAAGTACAAATAGGTACAAAGTACAAAAAATGAAAATCAATGATTCATGCATACCTCCAGTTCTTCCAATAACCTTCTCTATCTGTCTAGCAACGCTCTTTTACTAATGTTAAATTGCTTTTACAGAGACTAACAAAGCACAATTAGACCATTAGATTCAAACTCACTTTATAATACATTTCTTTGGCAAAACAGTGTGTACAATTTCTGTAACATATCTCTGCTTCACTCGCTTGTAAAACAAACAAAAATATATCGTTAACACGTAATATTGTCACTTTTGTTCAGCTTCTTTCACCTACGAGTCCTGTGGTTGAAACTCCATGGAAATGGCTAGGATAGTTTCAATGGTATTTCAATTTCAGTTTCTTAGCTCCCAGATTGCATGTTTGTTTTTTCAAATAGTTTCTTTTGAATATGTCTCTTGTTTTATTTTCTCGTTGTCATGCTTCAGTAGATATTTTCATAGGAAGTTCTTTCCTATTCTTACTAATGCAACTGCAGTATGATTTAATTTATAGCAAACCAAATTAGTCATCAGTAAATTGAACTGTAAGTGACCTTCAATGTAATGATGATAATTTTACATTGAGTGTATGTTTTCTTTACTTTCAAGTTTACTTACTTTCTTTCTTTCTTTTTTTTTTTTTTTTGTGCACCAAGAGTATTGTTGTTTAATTTATTACTATTCTTAGTTTTGTATCATTCTTCTCTATGTTACCATTCTTATTCCAATAGCAAACAAATCCCTCTGAAGGACCAAGTTAAGCAAAAAGGCAATCAGTCACTTTTGTATAAAGTCTATAGGTATTAGTTTAAACCCAGTTAGTTTTGTAGTTTCTCTCGCCAAAAATTCCAAGTGGAGAAAAAATATTTTATTTGCAAAATTAAAGTTGAAAACCTCTCCTTGATACTGAGTCTTATGAAAGAGTAGACCTATTTTTCAGTTTCCGTTCGATTCAAGCTGGTAACTTTCTTCTGCACTCAATTAAAATATGCCCCACACCAGTTATCCCTTTTTTACAGGAATAATTCCCACCAATTTACATTCTCAAGATAAGTATTTCCTCCACCAAACTGTCAATTTTAAAGTATTCTGTTCCGAATCTTAGTTTTGATTTTTGTCTTGTGTACTTATAACATTCTCATTTCTATCATTCAGAGCAGCATCTGTTTGCTGTCATACTTTTGAAGTTTGAAATATTTTTGTTGAATGAAAGCTTGTAAGAGTGTGTTTTAACTGTAAATAGTGAGGGAAAATGAATACCCGTTCTTTTTTCTAAAGGTAGATACATTTATGCAGGAACGGATGATTTTCACCAACAATTTGATCTCTTACTCTTGGATTTATAGTCTGTTTAAAGCAGAAGAGCCTCACACCTAAGTTCTGACTCATTTATTCAGAAAAAAAGCTAAAGAGGCAAATAAGAAACAACACATTGTTTCCAGAACTGTTATCTTAATGAGGAATGTACGAAACCCTGCTTGTATAACAGACTGAAATTGTTTTTGTGGAAATTGCACTGTTTATCAAAAATATTAGATGTTTTTCAAAAATTAGATTTATTTTCTTGATTTACATGAATTATTTTATTTTCATGGCAGTCAACTTTTTCATTTTTTTAAATTACTGTGTCGTTAGGTGCAAAAAAACTGCGCTTTTTGTTCATTGGCTCTTTCTTATTGCTTAAACTTTGATTCTTCTTCTTGTGTATTTGTTCTCTTAATCGTCTCCATTCTTATGGAGTCATCTCTTCTGGTTCCTTTTTTTTTTTTTTTCAAATTTTAGACGTCTTGTTCCTTTTGAAGTATTCAAGTTTTTTTTCCAGTGTCTTATCCCTGTTTCCCTGTATATTTTACCTACTTGTAACAATATGCCAAACTCTCTGTAAAAATTATGAAAGTTTAGAGAAACCTCTTAAATTCTCATCCCTCCATAGGCAGAACTATGGGGGCGGGGGGTGGGGGAACCTTCCCCAAGAAATTGACCTGGCTCCTCCAAAAAATCGTAAGGGATTTTTCTTAGTAAGTGCATAACATAGCTTTCATACTTGAAATTATGATGCGATCAAATTTTCTGTGTAAACTGCTTAGAACTGCTCCTCAGACAACTTAATTTCCCAAAATTTTCTGGGAAAGCCCCCCCCCCAGGACCCCCCTTTGGAGCTAAATAACTCCTCCAACCTTTTCTGTGGAGTCAGAGGAGTCCCACAGATCTCCCTTAGTGGGTCCCATCTATGTCATCCTCATTTGACTGAATTTAACCAAACCCCCTTTTTACCAAAAATTCTATTCAGTTCTTTCAAACTGGATCATTCTGAATGCTGGGTCTCAGCCGCACTCCCCTTTGCATTGCAATGTTATGGAACCTTAGATCCTTCTCCCTGGATGCATTTAAATATTTGAGCACTCTCTCTCCCTTAAAAATCAATACCAATGTAACTAAGTGCAAGTGAATTTTTTGTTTCAGATTGCAAGATTAGAAAACTGGAAAGAACGGTGGACAGGAAATCAGCACCAAGCCGTAAAAGAAAAAAGATCTGCCTCGATCGAAAGTGAACACGACGAACTTTCGGAGCTGCGCCTTAAATTAAATGCAGATTCAACCCCTGTATCATAGTATTAATCCTAGTGCAATTTTCTAGAAACTATTGTTTAGGTAAGTTTTTCAATTGAATAACTGTCGATATTGTTCCTTCAGGAATCATGGGGACAGAATTGTTACGTTCCCTGAAATTATGAACATTTCTGGTAAAAAATCTAAGTTGTGTAAATTTATTGTTAATTATTATGGATGACCGCGATTGTGATATATTATTTTACTGTGTTTCCGCGGTGCATGTTTTAATTTAGAATTGTCTCACTTTTCTCTAACTTATTCAAATAAATTTATGTTTTCATTTTATGTACTTATTTGGTATCCTAATTTATTCATAATGATTATCGAATAGTATTTGAGTAAAAAGTATTAAAAGATGTAGTAATATATCACAAGTTACTTGATAGCTTAATGTGGTTCCTATATTGGGAGAATGTGCAAACGCTGTTTCAAAAACTGGCAAAATTATGTTTTTAATTTTCAAATTTTATATGAAAGTACGTTACATGCTTGGAAAAAGTGACAAATTTATGACCAAGTCATATAGGCATTATCAAAGATTCGTAATGACAATGTAATTCTAAAAGAAACGAAATATCTATGTTCCAACAAATATTTTTTGTTTATCACTCTCTGAAGATTAAAAATCTTAATTTATTTATTAAACGTACATTAATCTTGCTATGAATGACTATCAGCTCTCCTGTTGATGATGTTCAGTGCTGATTGCTCATTTTGTGGAGAACTGTTAATTGAGTTTATTTCCAAATGTACTCTGTAATCCAACATAATGAAACGCTTTCTTCTCTTTTCTTTAAAAAAAATAACTAGATCCTTCCCTTGGTTATACTCATTTGCAATGGTCTGCTGTGCTGTTAAATGTGTTTCTCTCTCCTCAGATTAACCCATGTTACTAAACTCCATTCATAACCTGTTCTAAGTCTAGTTCTCCCATAGTGTAACCATCCAGACACCTACACTCAAAATACCTCCCATATTGTCCAATTTTCAAGTGCTCCTTTAAGTTTTCAAGGATTATCTCCTGTGATAAAATATTTGAAAGTCTCTTCATGTGCAATAATTCATCTGATGCTTCAGATGCAAGAAACAACAAAAAGCGAAATTTTTCATCTAAAATCACACACGGAGCAAATTTTATTTACAATTTGCGTTTTTTTATTTTTAATTTAAAATAAAATGAATGTTTTTACCCATATTAATTTATTAGTTACGTGTGACACATTTTGGTCAGTATTTATGAAGTGCTTGGAAATATATGTTTTTTTATACCAACACTATGTACTATAAGTTTCAATAGTTCATATCATCTCGAGGATAACTTTACTTTAAATCATCGACCAATCTTTCTTGAAATGAAAGGCCTCTGTGTGAAAGACTCACAACTTACAAAAATCTCAATGCATCAAGTACCTAAGTATTTATTATTTTTTTAACATGATTGAAACAAAGAGTCAATTCTCTGAATAGAGTCACTTAATTTTTTTCATACATTCCATCTGTTTACAAATCTTAAATTTTTTTGACTCCTCTCATTTACAATTGTTTTTTATTTTTTTTTTTTTTTAAGAATTGATTTCTTGTGACCTTCACTGTTTTGGTTTATTAATACAAATATTTTGTTGTTTCATTTTGTAACCTGCATTTTTCTTTCCATCTTTTTATACCAATAAAATTGTTTTATATATCTGACATGGCCCTCTGGTATTTCCCTTTGCCTTATTGTATTTTCTGTCATCATTAACAATTACCCTATCCTAATTAATTACAATGGAAACGACGCTATTTCCAAACATATATACCCAGTTGGTAAGCGTTCACAGAATTTGTTCAAAAGATGAGTAATTCAATATTTGCTTAAAAATTTGTACAAGTGGTATTCTCAAGTCAAAATACATTTGAACTACTTTAACCACCATTGGACTTATCTCTAGATGCACCTACTGGTTTAGGAAAACTGATGGTGCATATGTTGTTTCTAAAATGTGCCAGAAATAGTGGTATGGTTCCATTTTGCAAAATGAGTTCCATTTAATGTTATACCTGTAATCAAATTTTAAATCACCAAAGATGAGTTTTGCCTCATCCTGTAGTACTCGTCTCTTACCCAAGTAGCATTCCTTAACGGAAAAATCGTAATATATTGCGATTTTATCTCATGAAATCGCCAGGATCATCAACATCTGAGCAATTATCCTCAATGTATCGCGATATTTCCGAAATAAAAATCGCGGTAAATGGCGATTTAATCGCGATTTTATCGACGAAAATTGATCACGATTTTATCGAACCAAAAATTGCGATGTTTAGCGATTTAACGCCACATATCACAATTTTTAATGCGATAATACGAGTATCTCGATGTAGGTATTGCCACTGATATAATCGTGATAACCAACCGATAAAATTGCTATTTATCGCGATCACTGCTACTTGGGTACATGGCCAGCTACTCGAATTATTAGGGTAACCTAGAATTAAAGGTGGCATTAATTGCACAACCTTAAATTGCCTACCTGCTAGTCCTGTTCAGTCAAAAATGTTCAGCACACAGATGTGTTTTTTCTTGCTTCAAACCTCACGAGTCAGGACCAATCAAAGAATGAAAGTTTCAACGCAATGATTTCATGTGCAATAAATCCAAATGTTAATTTCTTTGCGTGGATAGTCCTTGACTTTGGGCAACACAGCGGCCAAGGAGGGAATCTTTGGCATAATATGTATATTCATCGTGGAGCGCCCAATTTTTAAGCAGAAATCGTGATACAACTATTTCGACCTCCACGTAGCTTAAATTGCATACTCATCGAAATGAAGGCGCACCTAAATTCTGATAACTCTAAACTGATAACTCTAAAATACAGATCCCAAATACCGAATCATTACTATATTCGACTGCTTAGAGTATGGACTAATTTTATCCCTAAAATTTTAAGAGTATCTTCGAGGGAATTAAAGGAAGTAGGATTTTTTATTCATTCAATAACTCGGAATTAGTGCAAGGACAATGTGACTTGTATCTATCTTCATAATATAAATTTGCAGATTTTAGTTTTGAAATAACAAAAGAATGTTGCATGAGGAAATGAATCAAGTAGTTGAGAGGGTGAGACACCACGTCAATGGAGACCACGCAATGAGACGAGATTTCGCCCATTGCCCAAGTAGTAGTGATCGCGATAAGTTGCGATTTGATCGGAGAATATAACGCAAATTTTTCGACGTCGATTTATTGCAATTATCGAACGCGATTTACATTTTAACAGAGATAAAATCGCGACAAGATTGAGGATAATCGCTCAAATTCTGATCTTCCCTGCGATTTTATCGGCAAAAAATCGTAACTTAATTTCAAAATATCGCGATTTTTCCGTTGTAAAATATTATTTGGGTGGGAGGGCCAAATTCTACGCATTGGAGAGCCGTATCTCCCGTCTCTCTATGAATAGCCTCTTTTGACAATCCAGTTTATCTTGGAGAGGTCAGGCTTTGTCATTTGACTCCGTCACTGAATTTCAGAGAGCTTTGGCGGCCCCTATAAATATAAAGCGGGCCTCTGAGAGATGAATGAAAAAAAAAAGTGGAAAACGGAAGCTGCTATTTATAAATATCGGGAAGCGATTGGAGAAATGTAAAATGTCTTCAACGTGTGGTCAAGGTCAAGGAGTTTGACCCATTTTCAGTTTCTATGTTTACTATACAAATTGGAGAGGCCAGAAAGTCAGGTTCCGTTCTCTATGAATCCGAGAATAGACATTCCTCCTCCCCCTTCTTTCACGCAAAATTTGCTCGGAATCAGGGCCGGATTTACCTACTTGCTGCCCATGGGCCGCCTTTATTTTGCCGCCCCCATCTCATTCGTTTTGAAACATCGATACAAACCATCAAGTGAACGTGCCGGAGGAGGAGGGGTGCATAAGACGCGTTTACTCGTGTTTGGCACATTTATTGTGAGAGCCCTGTCAACACTAGCAAAAGTTCACGGATTTTTGCTCGAAAATTAAGTTCCGTAAACCTATCTCTGCGTGGACAAGGCCTTTCACTTATAAGAAATGAACGAAAAAATTATGAAAGAATAAACATGAATGCGGTTTAATGATTTTAATTTCCGCCACCGCGCCAACCGCACTGTGTGTGGGGCAATGCGTGAAGTGTCCCTGCAGTCTTGTAGGCGCTATGCGTTTCACGCCGACAGCTGCTGACCGCATTGTTTTTGACGCAATGCGTGAAGTATTCATGCAGTCTTGTAGGCACTATGGGTTTCACGCCAACCGCTGATGACCGCACTACGTTTGACGCGATGCGTGAAGTATTCATGGAGTCTTGTAGGCGCTAATATGTGTTTCATGCTGACCGGTGCGCCTAGGGCTTCTCCTTTCTATCTCGAGTCTTTGTCATTATTGCTCTCTGCGCCGCGCCACTCCACACTCCAGGCCAAATTGCGTGTTTGGTTTCTCTCGCAACTAGACTAATAAAAGGCGCTGTCTCTTATATCACCGAAAGACGAACAAATTAGAAATTACTATACTTCAACCCTCGGGAAACTAGAGATTTTTTTGCCTTTTCTCGTTTGTATTTTTTTTTCTGAGTCAAGTTTTTTCTTGATACCTACATTTGAAAAAATACAACATTTTCCGCCCCCTTAATTTGCCGCCATGAGCCGCGGCCCATGTGGCCACCCCCTAAATCCGGCCCTGCTCGGGATGGGACGTGAGTGGAAACTATCGATTGATCGTAATAAGGCAGTATACAAAATTAACTATAATCATTCAAAATTTTGATTTCCAAGATTTTTTTTTTTTAAATGGGAGAGTCCCTCTCCTCCTAAAATTAAATTGTCTCTAAAAGGGAACAAGTCCATTTTCAGGTAAGCCCTGAAACACTATGACTCTAATGTAGCCTGGGGGTCACCTGGACTTAATTTTACAATAATGAACTAAGTACCAATTGTGAATCGTTTTAGAAATGCCATATCGGTGGTTAAACTATCAGACCTCGAATCTCAGTTCGTGACGTTGCAGAACTTCCTGTCGTTGCGTTGTTTATTTCCTAGTGAAAAATCACTGACGTCCATTGTTGAAAACTTTGATGTGTTTTATGGCTGAAGGAAGAGACGGACACGAGTTAGCGATCAAATAACGAAATAAGTCAAACTTTTTCGTTGATACCAGGCGTTTGGTGTTTGGCCTATACCTTATTGCCAACCTGTGATTTTTGATCGTCGAAACACTATTGAAGCGTTGAAAGCAAAGAGGCTTAATTGCATCCTGACAACGTTTCAAACTTTCACCTAACAACGTTTCAAACTTTCACCGAACAATGTTTCAAATTTTCACCTAACAATGTATCTCTAACTTCATAAGTAAATGGATGCTTGATGCTTCAAAAAAAAATTTCGGAATTTTCCCTCAAATCTCAAAGAAAATTCACAAAACATTTCGACAGAAAATTTGCATCAGTTCTTGATTAAGTGGATGAATTATCAAAATGAAACCTCAAAACGTTGCAATGCAGTCTGAGGCGGATCAGGGGTGGGGGGGGGGGGGNAGTCTGGATCCGCCTATATAAGCAATCAAGCCCCTCTGGCTCTTACCCTTGCAATTCAATGACATGCAACTTGATCATCACAGAAACGAGGGAACGGCCACACAGTGGATCAAGTCAATCAGAGAGGTCGTGGAATTTTTGACTAAAACTCTAAATTTTGATGTTCATTTCGTCACATTAAAAATAAGGAGTGTTTCTAGAGGAAAATTTTTAAAGGAAACCAATAGAACCACTTTCAGAACCTCAACGTTTTGTATAAACGGGGTTAAAAGCTTTTAAAGTTGTCCGACCTCTCCTATTGATTCGGTACACTGTTGGCCATGGGGACTTGCGTAAATAAAAGCAGAGCAATGCCTCTCTCGTTCTTGGGAACGAGAGGAATCGATAATCAGACAACGAATAGTACCTTGTGCTTAAAATTACCGCAGTGGAAATGGTGAATGGAGTTCGAGAACATCATAAAGTGCGGACTCACCTCAGAATATCGAATTGGGCTCGAAAGCGCGAGGAGGCGTATATTTTAGTAACAGCGCTGTATACAGGAGCGTCGAATACAAGATGTATAGATCGCCGAGGATTCTGCATTAAGCTAATTCCCGAGCATTTTTCGAGAAAA